GGGTGTGGCGGTGGGCGGGCAGCAGGCTTGGGGTGGTGGGAGGGTGCGGGGGGCGGGCAGCAAGCTCGGGATTGTCGTGGGAGGCGGCGGGCCCAGGGGTTGTCCGGGAGAGGCTGGGGCGGTGGGGGGAGGGGGGCGGGACCAGCGGTGGTCCTGGGAGCGGCGGGGGTCTCCCTGCAGGCTCGCGTGTGACTGAGCTGGATTCAGGGTTGAGGGGAAGGGCCGAGCTTGGGTGACTGCGGGGCGGGGATCCCAGCAGTGGGGGTTCGAGGGCTTAGCCTTTCCATGTGGTCTGATTTTGGCTTGAAAGTCCCCGCAAATGCAGCGGTATCTCAATTATACATGCACGAGTTGTCTTTAATCATAAAATGCTGTTCCTTTCATGTGGCTTGCATATCAGCTTTAACCCCCAAACTAGGGCAAAATGGACCCAGAGAGATAAGCACAGCTCCCAGAAGTGCGCCGCGGTCCAGCACCCGGCACAGGCGTCCTGTTCCTCCCACTGCAGCCCTGTGATAGCTTTTATCGCCGAGGCGGGGCGAGGGCCGAGTCACAGCTTCACCCAGCCTGGGCTCCCACCTGGGTGGGCCCAGCCTGGCAGAGTCTGATCTGGCACTGGGCCTCACTCCCCAGGCTCCAGGACAGCTCCGGGTGCCTGGACGGGCTGGAGAAGGAAGGGGGAGACCCCACACTGTATTCCACAGGACCCCAAATAAACGGGGGCCCAGGAGGGGTACTGCTGCCTCCACCTGTGCCCTCACCCTGGGAGAGGTTGCTGGAGTGGTGAGGGTCCAGACAGAAGTGTGACTATGTCAGAAAGGGCAAAAAGCAAAACAAGGAAGTGGAGGCACGAGGAGTGAGGACCCGTGGCAGCTCCAGAGCCCAGGAGTGCAGCCCCCGGAGACTGGAGCTGCTCCTCGACCGTGCCGTGCAGGAAGGGGCCCCTCTGCCGTCTGGGGCTGAGCAGGAGGGGACTCCTCTACCTTCCCCGGGTGTTCAGGAAGAGCCCCCTGCTGTCTCGGGCTATGCAGGAGGGGCTGCCACCTCCTGGGAAGCTGGGATCCCAGATGGGATTCAGCCATTTTCAGAGACATCTCCAGAAACAAGAATGTGAGATGAGCTCTCTTGGCATCTCCCACCAATGCCGTCGGTTGCAGGAGCCTCCCAGGAAGCCAGCGGGCAGAGGAGAGTGGGAAGAAGCTTGCAGCCTCCGGGCACCAGTGCTGCAGAGCAGAGGGGTCAGGACACTGGGAAGCCGTGTATGTGTTTGCATATGTAGGAGCTGAAAAACTCCACCTCCATCCTTTTGGGGTCCTGGCTGGGCCCAAGAGTTAAATCCAGATAAGACAGGTCATCATGCCAGTGTATTTGATTCAAGTCGGGTGTGGCTCGGGAGCCCTCAGAAGGAAATGAAGACCCAGAGAAGCAGACTCAGTCACTCAGGTACTGAACTGGACAGAGAGCAGTGAGGTTTGAGGAAGCAGCTAGATGACATGGGCAGGCTAGAAAGGTGAGTCGTTTAATCAGGGGGCCGCACAGTGCTCGCTGGTCTCAGCTTCTCATCCTTGAGCATCAGAGCTTTCTAGTGTAGGGAGAGCATCTTTCCCATGGGAATTTCCATCTTTTGCTTTTAAGAAACAGAAAAGAAATCAGAACGATCTTTTTGCACCTGTTATTTCTTTAACCTCCTCGAATTCCGAATAGTGAATATACCAAAACAGCCTATTTTGGGGTGCCATCCTAGCTCCACGTACTGGACGTATCCGGCCCACACAATTTAAATAGACAGGTTTGCTTACTTTCTTCTCAGGTGTACACAATTCAGTGCAGACATCCTCAGGAGACAGCTCCTACACCCATCGGCGTTCTGTCATCGGTGACGTGGTGGTCAGCTCTCCCGCAAGCCTCTGTCAGTCACAGCAACCAACTTTCACCTCCCACTCATGTTTCTCGTTGGCCACAGGCTGGCTCAGCTCCTGATGCCTCCTTCATTCTGGGGTCCAGGCTGAGCGAGCTTTGGCTGTCTGGAACATGGCATTCTCCTGACAGGGAGGACATGAGGGGAAACGGGTAAACCACGCCACGCTCTCCCAGGGGCCACCCAGAGCTGGGATGTGTCACTTCCACTCGCATGCCGCTGGCCAGAGCATGTCATGTGCCCAAGGAGGCTGTCTGAGGGGCAGGAAAGAGTGCTTCCCTCTCGGGGGGTGGCGTCAGCTCTGGGACTGGGTTTCAGCTTTCTTACAAGGGAAGAGCTGGCCTGTTACTGCGTCAGGGAGCTGACAGAAGATATGAAACTCCAGGGTCAGAGACAAAGGACTTTGTCATTCATGGCACGGCAGGCAGGTGCTCACCTGTGTTTGGTCTTCTCTCTTTGCCCCCAAGTTGCACAGGTACCATGTGGGTGGGCCTGGGCGGGCACTGCACAGTCAGTGGGTTTGCATGGCCACTGAGGAGCCCTGCAGGGGGGGACTCGGCTGTTTGCAGCAAGCAATGAGCAAGCTGCTCTTTGTCCCTAGGGGACTCTCAGGGAAAACCACCCTGCGAAATGGGGGAGGGTGCTCAGGGCCTGCATTCCTGGCACGCCCTGTGAGAGGTGGGGGCAACGAGACGCTCGTGGAAGATTGCCTCATACACAGGAGGTGCTGCGCCTATGAGAAGCCAAAGGGATTCACCCTGAGATTTCGCCGGCACCCCTGGGCTGCCTAGTGCCTCATACGTGAAAACAGTCATCTCATTTAAGCTTGTCCACTCAGCAGCTGTTGAAGGTGGGAGGGTGTCTTAGTCTATTAAGGCTGCTATTAAAAAAAAAAAAAAAACTACCATAGACTAGGTGGCTTCTAAAGACTTCTCACATTTCTGGAGAAATCAAAGCACCGGCGTATTCCAGGTCTGTGGGTGACACCCCCCATGGGCACCAAGGAAGGAGAACTGTCCAGACCCCAGGCACAATTAGTGCCTGAAGAATATCTTAGTTTACAGTGTTATTACTCAGCTGTTTCCTTTATATCATCCTTCATATGTAATCATCTATTCGTTTATAGAATTAGTGCTTAAAGTATAACTTGTTGCTTACATATATCTAGTTTATATAATCATACTTAATACTTATAGCTACTTAGTTCTATATAATCATACAGGTATCGTAGTCGGAGCTGTACCGACACATTTAGTGCTGATTTATAGAATCCTTCCATACAACCGTATAGTAGTTTGTACTAGGAGGAATGCCTGGAGCAGTCACAGAACAGAAGCAGTTCATGGGAGAACAGCCAGACCAGGACGAGAACCAGAGACCCAGGCGGTGGCGTCCCTGCCTGAAAGGGCAAACGCCGTATGGCAGGCTTGGAGCAGGAGCCTCTCATCCCGATAAAGGAGTTGTAGACGGCCCTTTAGACAGCATTTCCTGTTTTTAGTAACATGTTGATGA